AAAAGGGAAAATAAATCAATTTAAACAATTTAAAAGTATGGAAAAATAATAAAACATTTGGAAATGCTTATATATGCATGGTACTCCAGTTTCAATCATATCTGACATAGTCCATCAGTTCATGGCGCATTTTTGGAAGGAATTTTAGAAAAGATTAGGTACCAAGGTCAATTTGAGCACCGCTTTCCATCCACAAACCGATAGTCAGGCAGAAAGGACCATTCAGACTCTCGAAGATATGTTACGAGCATGTGTTAGAGATTTTGGAGGTAATTGGGATAATCACTTACCACTTATAGAATTTACTTATAATAACAGTTATCATTCCAACATTGATATGGCTCCTTATGAAGCGTTGTATGGGCGAAGATGTAGGTCTCCAATGGGTTAGTTTAAACAAACAGAGGTGTCGTTGATTGGTTCAGAGTTTGTTTGTAAGGCTTTAGAGAAAGTCCAGCTAATCAGAGAAAAACTGAAAGTGGCTCAGATTCGTCAAAAGTCCTATTTTTGAAAGTATCACTAATGAAAGGAGTTATGAGGTTCGGTAAGAAAGGAAAACTTAGTCCTAGGTTTATCGGATCTTATGAGATTATAAAAAAGAAGGAAAAAGTGGCTTATGAATTAGAGTTGCCCATTAAATTGTCCTCTGTTTATCCTGTCTTTTATGTGTCTATGCTTAAAAAGTACATTCATGATGAGTCGCATATAATACCTGTTGATACCATAAAAATTAAAAAAAGCTTGACTTATGAAGATGTAGCTACAGAAATTCTCGATAGGCAAGTAAGAAAGTTGAGAATAAAAGATATTGCATCGGTAAAAAAATTGCGGAGTAATCATGATTCAAAAGAGGCTACGTTGGAGGTCGGGGAAGATATAAGGAAGAAGTATCCTTATTTATTTGAGAAACATGGTATGTGAACCTAGGTTTGGCTTGACATTTATATTTTATTTATTAAATACAAAGTAGCATGTGTTTATGTCCTTGCTAGATTATATTTAGTTATTGAAGTAATTTAGTTTCTATTAGAGTATATTTAATTATTAAATAATTTAGTACCATGCCAAAGTATATTTAATTCATTAAAATAATTTACTTTTTGCTTAAGTGGTGTACTTTAGATTTTGGTTGGTTATTGTGGTACCTCCTTGCCGGACTATGAATAATTAGTTTATGAGTTGTGTATAATGCCTATGAATGATATGTTATGGTATATTTGATTGTTGTTGGTGTAGTAGTGGTATTGGTGATAGGGATATTTTTTGGATAGCCCAATTTACAGAGGAGACTGCCAAAATTATTGAAAATTTATAGAGTTAGCCAAAATTTTGAGTCCCTTGGGAAAGTGAGTAGTGCTAAGAAAACTTAAGAAGTTCAAGGACTTAAGGAATGATTGTTGGCTTAAGAATAAGGCCTTAGCAATATTCGAGAACGAATGTTTTCAAGGAGGGAAGATTGTAACATTTCTCAAATCTATAAAAGTTTCAAGACACACTCAATATAAAATTTAATATTTTAAATCTTGCCTTGGGTGTAAAAAAAATTATACTTCTATTATAAATTTATAACCCTTATTATTGACTTTTGAGTTACTTCTCTATTTACAAATAATATGATATACAAGCAGGGGAATATTAATAATTTTAATATTGCTAATTATTAAAATTGAGTATCATTAAATATTAGTTAAGTTAAAAAAAAGGGACAAGCCTAAAACCCATAAAGTGGGATATTGGAAGGCAAAAGGCTTAATTCCTTAAACAAAACAGAACGCTAGTTCAGTTTACTCACGTAGGGCAAAAGACTTGAAGCTTTTTACGAAACTGAGGCGGCCACGAAATTACTGTTACGCGACGCCTTCCTGAGATTTCTTAGAAGGGCAACGTAAGGCTAAACAATCAATGTCAGTGCAATTACTATCTGTAAGCACGTAATTTTTGACCCGCACAACTTTTAAAAGTAGTATTTTAAAATATTTATTTATTTTTATTTTAATAGGATTTCAGTCAACTTTTAGTTTTAGTTTCAAAACAGAAGTTTAAAAACAAAAAATATTTTTTATATATTTTTAGCTTATTAGTATTTTGTAATATTTATAATATTTAAAAATACCAAAAATATTTTATTTTAATATATAATTCATTTTAATAGTTTATTCTTATTAATTAAGATTAATTATAATATTTTGGTAGTATTTTTAGTTTTGTTTTATTCAATGAGAATGAATTAAATTTACGTTAATTAGGAGCTCATATTCGAATTTTAGTGGCCTAGCAAAATAAAGACCCATTTTTTCCAATCCCTTTTAGTCCAGATCCTTTTCTCACCCATCAAACTCCTCTCTTAATCACAGTCATTGATCTACTTTCATCCGAGGGCCAAGGTTTTTTCCCCAAATCATATAAAACCCATATTTCCACAAAAACCTAGCTCCTTTCTTCATTCTAAAAAAGCAGCAGCTAGGCGAAAGAGCTCTTGGGCTCAAAGAACGGCAGACCACCCGCCTAATTTCGAGAGAACCCCTCTCAATTCCCTTAGTTCCTTTAGTTACCATATTTTATTTGTCTTCCTTTTCCTTTCTTACTTTATTTCCTTAATTATCTCCCCCACCAAATATGTAATGAAGTTGCTATTGACTTAAGTCAGCCGAGATTTTTGTGGTATTTTTAGTCCAGTTGATACTAGGGATGGGCATATATTAGGTAAAACTGATAATTTGAATCGTTAATTGTTTATTGGATTATTGGTATCGGGTTATTGGGTTAACGGTTTGGTAACGGTTTAGAATTTTTTCACTATTGGGTTATCGATAAGGGCCTCGGTTTGTCAATTTTGTTAATGGATTAACTAATAATGATCGATAACTGATTAACCGATACTCCATAATCGATATCTTATCAGTTTATCAAATTTGTAAATCGATAACCGATATGCTAAACCGATAATATTCATAACCGATCCGAACCGACCGATACCCACCCCTAGTTGATATTCTTCTTCTTATGATATTGAAAGAATTTATCGCTGGAGTTGTTTGGATTTGCATTAGAGTTCCGGTATCGATTCGAGGTTCCGGTTCGCAATTTCGGCGTTTAAGCCCAACGATTGTTGGTTTGTTATTTCGATTAAGTTGTAAATTTTCAGTTTATTCATTAATATAAAGGTCCATTCAAATCCATTTTTCTCGGTATTTGTTTACATTTTAAGTATACACTTGCTTTGATATATTAGTGTTTCTATTTGCTCGTGACGCATTCCATCTGCTCCATGGGAAATACTTGATCTCTTTCGTATTAACCGTGTACTGATTGCGTATTATTTGGATTATATATTAGTTTTAAAGATTAATTCGTTTGAATACATGTAAGTTTGGTTGGACGATTTCTGTTAAATATGTTATGGAGTTTGATTTAGTTTTCTTACTTATATGGTTATGTTACATTGCTTTTGTTTTAGCATATTGAAGTGGTGATTTAAGTGAATTGATAAATTGGATAAATGGAAAAATTAAAATTATTTCTTTCTTGGCAAGGAATAAGAATAGGCCATAAATGGTATTAAGTCAGAAGAATGTATAACTCTTAAGCCTCACGATGATCCGAAACTTAGGAAAATAATTAACTTCAACATCGTAGCTTGCTTTAGGTGCGTTAATTAAATAAATCATCGTGACTATGAGTATGGTTTATGTGGTATAGTCACGATACCTAAATCTCAATTCGAGTGCGCGTTTCACCCGACTCGACCATAACTTCAAATAATAATAAAAATAAACATGCTATAAATCGCGGGTGCATTTCACGTGACGCGGTTCACAATATGTACAAAAATAAACGAGTGTGCGACGTCGCGACTTATTCAAATAAATTCCATAAATAGTAAAAAGCGATTAAATTAATTAAAAGCGAAAATGCACAATAGGTTTTAAATATGTATTAAATCAGATAATTAGGCCAGTTATTAATAGTTGAGCGACTGTGCTAAAATTACGAAATTCGGGAGTATCTCACACCTTCTCCTGGGTTAACAGAATTCCTTACCCGATCTTCTGTGTTTGCAGATCATTAATAAGAGTCAATTTCCTCGATTTGGAATTTAAAATAAACCGGTGACTTGAGACACCATAAATTATTCCAAGTGGCGACGTTAAAATTAATTAAATAATTACATTCGATTAATGTCACTTAAATTGGAAAAACTCTCTATCCCCTCGGAAAAAGGAGGTGTGACACTATCCGCCAACTGAGATCCCCTCCGTACGCTAGACAAAATTGTCAGTGTCGTACGGGAAAACCAATGTCAAGAGCAATTGAAAGACCAGAAATGAGAATGAAAGAAAGCTTGATTGCATTAATGAAAACTATTACAGAAAGGCAACATGGTGTCGAGGGAGAGAGACACCAGTACAAATAATTATTTGCTTGCTAGAAAGTTTGATTGCTTGATCCTCCCTAATAGCGCTTAAAATAAATAAATCAAAGTTATAAGACTTGACCTAACTAAGCTAGAAAATCATAATGGAAGTAAATGGAATAAAACTACTCTATATTTACAATGAAAAGGACTTAGTTTTCTACAAGGTAGAAACAGGTCCGTTGTCAGCAACCTTGTATTTGGCATCACGATCTGCGCGTGTGGCATTGTTGGAATCTGCCTGCGGCTGGGCGCTGGCGAGGGCTATCGGTAGGGCGACAGAGGCATATACACGCTTGTCATTTGGTACAGCCAAAACCACGGGGCCGTCCATGGTGCTAGGCATTGGGAGGCTTTCTAGGACGCTATGGGGCGCGTCCAGGAGTCATGGGGCATGGCTTGATAGCCGCCCATGACATTCTCCCCCATCTGAGTTGACGACGTCCTCGACGCCTAACTTGCAAGGTAATCATCAATTAGGTTCTTGTAGGCTTTGAAGTTAGTTCTCATCTCCCAAGTATTCCCTTCTGCATCACAGCCTGCCATTTCACCAAGAAATCTTGGTGATCTTTCCTTGAGGTATGAATCACTCGATCATCAAGAATAGCTTCAGCACGCCTTTTTCAGTTGAATTGGAGCCTCGAATACTGGGTATTGTGAGTTGACTCCGTGAAGGATCCTCTATGTATTCCCGAAAAGGTTTCAGAAGACTGACATGAAAAACGGGATGGATTTTCCACCAAGATGGGGTATCCACCTGGTATGTAACTTTTTCAATGCGCCTTTCAATGGACAAGGGTCTAATATATTTTTTAAATAGGCAAGGGTCATGAACCCCTGCAAACAAATACTGCTTTGGGATTTTGACCATCACTTTGTCTCCTACTTGGTATACAACAAAGCGACGATTTTGATCAGTATGTCTCTTCATACGGTTTTGGGCTTTGACAAGATAGCTCCGTACTATCTCCAAATTTTGCTTCCATTCTTTTGAGAAGCTAGCAGCTCGAGGAGATTTTGACATGTTTGGTGCATTCACAGTGTGTGGGAATAGCGGTTGCTTCCGGTAACAATTTCAAAAGTGCTTTTATTTTTATTAGATCTCTTTTGTGAATTGAAACATAGTTGAGCAGCATCCAGAAGTTTCACCCAATTCTTCTGCGATCCTGTTACAAAGTGGCAGAGATATTCCTCCAGCATGCCATTGAACCGCTCCATATGGCCATCAAATTGTGGATAAAAACTTGAGTNTATATTGTGGGCTACTATAAAGATAGCATACTTGGAAAACTGATCCACCACAACCAAGATAGTTGTGATATCTCCGACCTTGGGTAATTTGGTGATGAAATCCAGCGAAACGCTTTCCCAAGGTCTTTTTGGGATAACTAGTGGTTCCAAGAGTCCCGATTGTGTCAAGCAGTCCAACTTGTCCTTCTGGCATACTAGACAAGTCTTCATATACTGAGCAACTTCACCGGCCATTTAAGGCCAATAATATGCATGGATAAGTGATTCCATGGTGCATTCTTCATCAGATGTCCGGCCCACAAAGTATCGTGACATTTTGCCAGAAGAGTCCTTCTCACATCTCCTCCTTTAGAAGTTGCATAGGCCAAGGAACGCCCTCAAGGCATGCATATCCTTAAGCGGCGGCCAATCTGTGATAGCCTTAATCTTCTATTGGTCCATCTTGATCTGCCCTTCCTCGATGACATGTCTGAGGAAGTCAATCTATTTTTTAGCAAATGACCACTTAGATAACATCACATATAATTCGTTCTCTCGCAATCGGGCTAGGACCTTCTGCAAGTGCTCCATGTGTTCTTCTAGTATTTGGCTATATACCACAATGTCATCCAAGTAGACCACTGCGAATTTGTCAATGTACTCTCGGAAGACTTGGTTCATCAGGGTGCAAAATATGGCTGGAGCGTTGGTCAAGCCAAATGGCATAACCACGAAGTCGTACAACCCATATCTTGTCCTACAAGTCATCTCGTGTCCATCACCCTCTGCAATCCGAACTTGCCAATAACCTATCTTCAGGTCTATTTTGGAGAACACCATTGCACCACCCAGTCTATCGAATAAGATTGCCATTAGCGGAATAAGGTACTTGTTCTTCACGGTGATTTTGTTTAGAGCTCATAACTGACACAGAGTCGTAGGCTTCCATTATGTTTCTGCAATAGCATAGGGGGCTCGTATGGGGACTTGGAGGGCACGATGATCCCTGTGTCTAGTATTTCCATCAACTATCTCCGAAGCTCGGTGAGTTCGGGTTGCAACATTCTGTAAGGTGCCCGAGCGGGTGGCTTCGCACCTGACACCAACTTAATCTCATGGTCCAGAATGTGCCTAGGCGGGAGTTGCTTTGGCATGTCCTGTGGCACAGCATCTTCAAACTCCAGTAGCAGTTCCTTCACGAGTGCAGGAATGGGACCCGATGAGCATTCCATATCTTCAATGCAAAGGGTAGGCAGGAACGTAGGTTCATGTCTTTTGACCCCCTTCTTCAACTGCAAGGCCTAGATGTTCTCACCATCTTCATGGGAATGCACAAGATAATGCAGGGCTTGGCCTCGTTTGTTCCCATTATCAGTAGCATGTCTGCATACAGTATGGGCATGTTGTTGGTTTGCCTCAGGAATTCCAACCCAACTATCAACTTGAAGTCATCTATGATCACTACGCGCAGGTTGAATTTTCCTTCATAAGGGCCAAGCTTCACTGGTACTTCTTTGGCTATTCCACCCACTAGCTTAAGAGGTGAGTTGATAGCCTTGACACGACCTCTGCCCTTTCCTACAACTAGACCAAGGCACTCCACTTGAGTCAACGCTAAGTAGTTGTAGGTAGCACCTGTGTCGTTCATCACCCGTATGGGCTTGCCATTTACCTTCATCTCGACAAACATTAAGGTCATCTCTTGTTTAAGAGGAGTCCTCCCATCCACCTTATTTTCCCTTTCTTGGTGATTGGGCAAGGGTCCTTCTTCTTACAGATACCAGCACTGATTCCCGCTAAGGCCTCAGAAATAGAGCCAACAATTGCATTGAAGGCACCTACTAGTTTGATCTGGTCCGCATCGTCTGCGTCGTTATCCGTCCCATCATCAAAAGCTTGATGGGCATTCATCTGTGCATATGGGCATTCACTATTCCAATGTGGTCCACTGCAATGACAGCATCCTGAAGGGGGCTTTCTCCCCCGATCATTATTGTTTGACGCAACACTATTGCTGCCTGAGGAAGGAGCCTTATATTTGATTGTGCTTCGATCTCCTCCACTTCTGCTAGGGCAACCATTGCTAGGCTGGCCCACTTTTTATCCCGCTCGGGCAGGCGGTTGAGGCCGATCCTTCCGATCTTCCACTTGATAGTCCCCAAGGCACTCCGCTACTTGGATTGCCTTGGGTATGGTATCTACCATTTGTCTTTGCAGCTCCATATGGGCTGAAGGTTTCAAACCTTCAAGGAATGTGAATAATTTGTCTTTGTCCCCCATATCCCATGTTCAGCATGAGCGTGGTGAATTCCCACACGTAATCGCGCACTGACTTGGTCTGGCGGTGCTCCCGTAGCTTTCTCCGCATATTGTACTCAATATTTTTGGGGAAGAACTGTAGGCGTATGGCTGCCTTCAGTTCTGCCCATGTCTCGAGAGCATCTTTACCGGACCTGATGGCTTTGTACTTCACCCGCCACCAGAGTTTAGCATCACCCTGAAGATATATGGCAGCAATTGCTACCGTCTTAGCTTCTTCTAGGCCCCCCACGGCATTGAAGTACTATTCGATGTCAAAGATGAATTTTTCCACTTCTTTGGAATTTCGAGCTCCACTGTATGGCTTTGGCTCAGAAATTTCAGGTTTTGTGCCACGGGGGCAAGGTTCACAGCACTCCCAATTTGGTTTACGCCTCCTTGAAACAAGTCTTATAAAGCAGCATTAACAATATTGAGCTAGCCTATCAAGTTGTCTATAGTTTATTGCATGGCAGTCACCGTGTCTGCCTCTTGTTCCCTATAGGCTAAATCCTTGGCACACTCCTATTGGAGACCCTCTAATTTACCAAAAAATTCGGCTGCCTCTGTGACTGCCGTTTGCTGATCTCTTTTAGAGTCGCGACTGTGGTTTTCTATGTCAACTTAGCCCTTGAGAATTCTGCGGTCCAGGTCGTCCAACCTTTGCACTACGCTGGTTCTTAATTCAGGCATCGTATCCATGATGGGTCGTAATACGTCAATCGTCTCTTCAAGGGCCGCAATGCGGTCCCCATGATTCACCATGTCAATGGTGGTAATGGAAATGTGTTCCCTCGTCTGATGTCGAGCCTAGGCTCTGATACCAACAGTTACGTGGTGCCTTCCTGAGGTTCCTTGGAAGGGAAACGTAAGGCTAAGGTGGGGCTATAGAGACACATGTGTGCTTGTCACTTGACGCAGCCAAGACCACGGGGTCGTCCATTACGCTAGGCATTGGGAGATTTGCTAGGACGCCATGGGGCTCTTCCAAGGGGTCATGGGGCATGGCTGGAAAGCCGCCCATGACATTAATTAAAATGCACTGGTTGTTGTAAAATTGATTGTTTGACAAGTATATATTGGACTAGGGCCTACGTATTGGCTTGAGGAGTTTTTTTAGGTGAGTTGATATAACCCTTATTAAAGTGGTTTAACTCACAAAAGCACGCATACAATGTGTTTGATGAATTGCTTAAAAGAGTTAATATGTACTTAATTCGAGCAAGTGAGTACCTATTAACTTAGAATTATTCTAGCTAAAGTTTAGATGATTTATTCTCATATATGCATAAATTTTCAGATTTTGGTGTTATCTTTATATGTCATTTTCATGTTGAAAGTTCATGAAGAAGCAAGAATCTTTAGAAATACTTTTGAATGTTTATTTCATGATTATGCCATGCTTTGCATTCAAGGATACCAGTATGAGTATGTCATGACCCGGATTTCCCACCCTCGGGAGTCGTGATGGCGCCTACTCGTAGAAGCTAGGCAAGCCACTAAACATAGAAAATTTCTAACTCTTTCATTTTTAACCTTTTTTAACAATCTAAATTAACAGGTATCCAACATTTAGATATTAACGATAAATGAAATCAAACGGAAGACTTAATCTAATATAATAACCAAGACCAGTATGATAATGACAACACGCATCTCTATCCGGAATTCGGTGTCACAATATCACGGACGGACTAGGATTACTACAACAAATGTTTGAAAGAAATACAATATATCTCGAAATCAAATGAAAACAGAGTACATAATAAAGTAGAAGAGAACGTCGGGCCTGCGGATGCTTGCAGGACTACCTCGGGATCTCTGGCTGGACTGAAGGCAGGCTCCCCAAGTGCTACTGTCCAAAAGCTGCTCCAGAATCTACATATAGTGCAGATTATGTGCAGAGTATAGCATCTGCACAACCGACCCCATGTGATGGTAAGTGCTTGGCCTAACCCCGGCGAGGTAGTGGCGATGCTAGGACTAGACTCCAGATAAACCCGTGCAGTTATATAATATACAGCGGAAAATAAACATGAATGAACAATTAACATGGGAGGGGTACATGCTACGGGGGAAATATCGAATCCAGCAAAAACTTAAGAGAAATATGAGAGAACAATTCAAGATTTACAACAAAACCATAATAACACTATTGCAGCGCGCAACCCTATCCCTATCATTTAACACTGTTGCGGCATGCAACCCGATCCATTTATATCACTGTTGCGGTGTGCAACCCGATCCAATATAACATTGTTGCGGCGTGCAACCCGATCCAACATAACATTGTTGCGGCGTGTAGCCCGTTCCATATATAGTATTGTTGCGGTGTATAACCTGGTCCAACATAACATTGTTGCAGCGTGCAACCCGATCCATATAGTATTGTTGCAGCGTGCAACTCGATCCAACATAACATTATTGCAGCGTGCAACCCATTCCATATATAGTATTGTTGCGGCGTGCAACCTGATGCAACCTGATCCAACATAACATTTATATACCTTTAGCAACAATCATACCAAGAGTCCCGGCAAGGGATCAACAATAAGCTACACTATCCCGGCAAGGGATTCGACAGTAAAAGTAAATATGTCTCAGCAAGGGAGAAATAGCTATAACCAATCTTAACCCAACTTCTACTCATCTCAGCTGACACCAATACTCAATCATAAGTAATTTCCACGAAAACAAACTTAATCTTAGCTCAATATCAAGAATCATCAATTAAAGCATCCGTAGTACTATTTAAGAACACAAAATAAATTGCAATTTAAGACTTACTGTCATGCTCGACACCAACATATAGATACTTGTCACCGTGCATATACGTCGTACTCAAAAAGAAGCAAATATCAAATATGACACAAATCTTAATCCCTCAAGCTAAGGTTAGACCAAACACTTACCTCGAACTTCCACGACCAACTCAAGCCTCAAACACCGCCTTTCTTTTTGAATTTGACTCCAAATCAATTGTATTTAGACATAACCGACTTAATAACATCAATAAACGCTAAACAATCCAATTCCAAAGCTTAATTATGGCTTTCCATCATTCTTCCCAAAAAGTCAAAAATTGACCCTGGGTCGGCTTGGTCAAAATACGAGTTTCGGACCAAAATCCGATCACTCATTCACCTACGAACCCGAATATATATTTTGTTTTGAAATCCGACCCCAAAATGAGGTCAAATTCCCAAATAATCAAAAAGCCCTAACTCTACCCAAATACCTAATTTTCTACCCTTAATCTCGTGTTTTAGGCCTAGAAATCTAGTGGGTGGTGATAAAAATGGAAGAAAACGAGCTTAAGATTACATACCTATGAAGCTATGGTAAAGTTCCTCTTCAAATATAGCCCAAGAGGTGTGGAGAAGATGAAGTTTATGAAAAATGGTGGAATTCCCGTAATACATTTTGTTTTTGGAATTTAAAATAACTTGGCAAATTTGCTCTATGCGTTCGCGACAGACTCATCGCGTTCGCGATGAGCTAGGCCTGAGAGAACTTAGCGTTCGCGGAAATGGGCTCGCGTTCGTGGAGAACTAACTCCTCGAGCCTTCACGTTC